GAGCCATCGACAAACTAAAGGTTTGGTGCGACGTAAACAATTTGCACCTGAACCTTGACAAATGTGCCGTCCTTACAATTACCACAAAAAGGAAGGACATCATCGACACTAATTATAAATATGGTGATTTTAGCTTCAAGCGCGTACGGGACCACAAAGATCTCGGCGTCATCATTGACCAAAAGCTTAGCTTTATACAGCACATTGACGCGGTCACCTCGAGAGCTACAGCAGCCTTGGGATTCATCAAAAGATTTTGTTACGACATAACCGACGTTCAAACGCTCAAAACACTATACTACGCACTGGTTCAGTCTCATCTTGAGTACTGCAATGTTGTATGGCTACCAACTTATACCGTGCATATCGACAAAATTGAGAGCGTGTTGAGAAAGTTCACCCAGTTCGCCCGAAGAGAGTACCGTACGGCGGCTAACGGCTACAGTATCACCGACTACAACAAGCGACTTGAAGCGTTGAACATGACATCGTTGGAGCGTAGGAGAGTGAATGCATCTATTGTATTCATGTACGACATCGTGAATGGGATCGCAAATTGTCCCAATGTACGCAATGACATCGCAATTGGAGAGAGCGCACGTTGGTTAAGGCACACAGACTACCTAAAGATTAAAGATAAGCTCATGGACAAACAAATCAGAGCTCAAGTGCCTCAAATATGCAAGTTTGCAAACAAAGTGGCTGAACAATTCAATAACTCAACCAGCCGTGCTAATTTCATCTCGTCGATACGCAGCGAACAAAACCAAAAATTTAATATTAAATATTGACAAATTGTTATCTTACATCCCTACAAAATGTATAGAAATAATGATATTTATCCGTGATTTTTACACAAACTTTAAAATAAGTAGCAACATTAACTGTGATATAGCCATCCATTGAGTTGGTGATTAACTTTTGACCTGCCATTAATTTATAATGGAAACTACCGTTTATGTTAATGTATTTGCAAGTATTGTAATTTTTTTTTTCTTATGTCTTTCGGTCTCCACTAAATTACAAATTCATAACAACCAACAGGGACTTGTTAGATTAGACGTAAAATGTTTCTTCAATGTATCACCTCTTGATAAATTGAATGATGACTTTTGCAGTCATTAGGGCCGTCACTACAGTGTTAACGCTTCATTTAGTCTTTCATTTTTTACACGTTTAAGTTGGGCTGTGTTGGACCGTTTGCATTTCGGCTGCCTATGCATTTCCATGTATTGGTTGGGTTATCTTGTGTCAATGCTTTTTAGACCAAGTTGTTTTACCAATAGAAAAAGACTATTACTTACAACTACTTATTGTATAAAATTACCATATAATGTACAAACACAAAAAGATCAGGTTTTTCACGACTCTTGGAGTCGTTTTCCTGCAAACCAAAATATTCAGCCAGTTTTTGGCGGTGTTAAATAAATAAATAAATAAATAAATAAGCTATATGTCAAATTTTAGCTCTAATTTGGGGCTATATTTGAGGCAATTTTGAAAAAAATCGTCTGAGCCGTTTTCGAGAAAATGGCCGATTTGTGCAAGGCCAGGTGACCATTTTTTGGGTTTTCAGCCCATAAGACCATGCTTACTTGATTTTTCAAAGCTCAAATAGATGCCATTTGATAGATGGCCTCAAGACCTTTCCAACGATACCCAAAAGTTTGAAATCGGTTGACTGGGTTAGGCACAGTGATCATTGGAAAGAAGGCCATTTTTTGAATTTTCAAAGGTCGGCCAAGGCCAAGATGGCGGCCAAATCAAAAAGTGGCGGAACAAAAAAGTCTTAGTTTTTGATATAGTTCAATGCCTGAAAGTTTGAAAAAGATCGGACAAAAAGTACGGACGGACGGACGGACACACAGACAAAACTATTATCTCAGAATAATTGATGGAGACGGCAAAGAAAATTTTCAAATGGCCATAACTCATGAACTGATGGTCCGATTTCGACGTTCTTGGTCTTGTTGGAAAGGTCTCGACGAGAAGCTTCAGAAAAACTATGTTTTGAGATGACTGGGCCGCGTCCACCCGGTAAATGGGAAAAACTGAGAATTGCTCCAAATTTTCAAGTGGCCATATCTATGGAGACGGTTGGTCAATTCCCAAGTTTGAATGCATTTTCTGGGCCTATGAGCCAAGGGCTTTCTGACGATACTTCATTTATACCAGATGGCCTCTTAGAAAAAAAGTTCGAAATTGCGTGTATATATAGGCGAGTTCGACTTTTAGCACAGAGGTGCTTTCGTCACTCGCGCCTGCTGTCGCCGGCTGTGATTAAAGCTGTCAACGGAAATATAAAATATAAGAAAAACGAGTAGGGCAGTGAAAACACGTGGGGGGGCAAAGCCCCCCCTTGCCCCTTAGTTGCTACGGCTCTGAGTGTATGGGTTCCAAATCTGGGAGCCACATTCTATAATTGGCAGTACAAAGGTGAAGAAGAGTTTCTTAATAGTCCATGGATCCTCAAACTCTCTTCCAAAATGCTTTATCCAAGCCAATCTTGATTTTGCTTTGGCAGTAATGAACTCAATATGTGCATTGAAGTTCATTTTCTCATCCAGTATAATGCCGAGGTCCTTAATTACTTTGACACGGTTAATCTTCTCATTGTCTATCGTATATTCAAATTCATACTGCAACTGTCCACGCGTGGATAAATATATATTTATACAAACGTGGTATTTCATTGTGTGGTTTGTGTTTGTTTTGGTTTGTTTATTGGTTGATTCATGTTGACACAATGATTCTAATAGTGTTATGCTGTGCAATTGAGGCATGATATAATTTTTTTTCTCATTTGGAAAAAATATCAATGGAAGAGATATCAGTGTAGTTCAAGCAGATTTTTATGTTTTCATGTGAAAGAACTACTATTCAAAACAGTCAATAACAGTATACCCAACGTGTAAGCTTTTGAAGACTATTGGTATACAACGGTTGTATTACATATTCTTGCACCAGTTGGCGCTTCTGGGCTCATTTATATGAGAACTGTCAAGAAAGCGCAGTGTCGGCGCATACATCGTCGAAATACATAACAAGCCAAATAAGAATCAGAACACCACGGCATCGGACAAGAGATATAGATTTCTTATCACTACAAATAAGACACCATAATTATTCCAAATTTGAGCCCATAAATAACATGCTTATTACATATAACGATTTTTATAAGAAATTTGTTCCTATTAACACTATGACTGTTCTTCATATTTGCAACATATTACTGTTCTTGGGGGACTCCAGGGCCCCCAAGATACTTCATATGAAATCTGGACTGTGATAAGAGATAACAAATTAGTGTTTGCAGCAAAGTTGTAATACTCAAAGTTTGCTATAATTTTGGTGTAACAAATATTGCTTATCTCTTATCAGTTCCGCGAAAAACGCGAAAAAACGCGAAAATCGCAAAATTTTCCCACATCGTTTTAGTGAAGATGATGAGAAGTAAGAGACTTGCCTCTTCGACAGAAATGTAGAGCAGCTTGAGTACTACAAGTTCACCATAGACATGAAATCGTTATCTCTTATCAGTTTCGCGAAAAATGATTATCAAAAACTCGAATTTTTCGCGTTTTTTCGCGTAACTGATAAGAGATAACGACTTGATGTCTGTGGTGAAGTTGTAGTACTCAAGCTGCTCTACAACTTTGCCGAAGTTACCAAGTCGCTATCTTTTATCAGTTTCATGGAATACGCGAGAAACTGCAGAAAATCGCGAAAAAACGCGTTTTTTCCCTTATCATTTTTCACGGAACTGATAAGAGATAACGAGATGGCGTTTAAGGCAAAGTTGTATTTCTGGTTGAGTACTACAATTGTTCCGATTCATTATTTCGTTAACTCTTATCAGTTCCGTGAAAAAACGATAAGGAAAAAAACGCGTTTTTTCGCGTTTTTTTGCGGTTTCTCGCGTAATTGATAAGAGATAACGGAATAATGAATCAGAATAATTGTAGTCCTCGACCAGAACTACAACTTTGCCTTTGACACCATCTCTTTATCTCTTATCAGTTCCGTGAAAAATGATAAGGAACAAAACGCGTTTTTTCGCAGTTTTCTGCGGTTTCTCGCGTATTCCGCGAAACTGATAAGAGATAACGACTTGGTGTCTTCGGCAAAGTTGTAGAACAGCTTGAGTACTACAACTTCACCGCAGACATCAAGTCGTTATCTCTTATCATAGTCCAGTTATAATATAAAATAGCCATGGGGCCCTGTGGTCCCCCAAGAACAACAGCGTAACAAGTTTTGCGGCAGGCTGTATTTTACACATACTCACACATATGCATATGTTTTTTTTTCATTCGTGTAGAGAAATGTTCAATCTATACAATGAGACTTAACTCCGGTTGGTTTATACACTGTTTAGTACTTTTATTCAACTTTAAAGTTCGCTGGGGGCCCTGGGTGCCCCAAGAACAATCATAGTGTTAAACAGCCATATGCAACTGATGGATGTGATACTAAAGTTATTCCAATTTGTAATACTTATCTAATTGATTTCAATGTTAGTACTGTTAAACAGAGGGTAACTGAATTTTTTAAAAGAAGTAGAGTGTGGAGAAAATATAAGAAATATTGTAAATATATAAATATGATATTTATACCAAATAAACCACCTTTGGCGAAGAAACGCAAAAGAATAATAATAATAATAATTCTATACATTCAGTAATTATGTAAGAAAATTGTCAGTATTCTATATTAAAAGTGGCGCTTTGTTCGTTTCGTACTGATGTGATGAAATTAGCACGACTGGTTGAATTTTTGAATGAATCACCCACTTTATTTGCATATTTGCACATTTGAGGCACTTGAGCTCTGATTTGCTTGTTCAAGAGCCAATTCCTGATTTTTAGGCAGTCAGTGTGCCACAAAAAGCGTACGCTCCCTCCAATTGCTATGACGTTGCGTACATTTCAATCAACTTTTCCGTGTTTTCTAATATACTAACGATTTCTAAAAGTTCAATATCGAATCTTATGTTGAAAATTCATTAAAATCCTATGTCAATATTGTTGATCCACATCATTGTCATTGTCTTCTGTCAGGATGGTTCACGTATAGCGAACATAGCCACGAGCATCCACCATGCGATCGGATTACTTATGCCCAAAACTTCCCCAGAGAATATAAAATGTGTTTGTCAAACACTGAAAGTAAGTTGATTTTATAAATAGAATTTAAGAAATTCACTGAAATAATGATAAATAATTTTTCTTATAATATAAAATACGTATCATCAGTTATGTGGTTATGAACTGGATATCGACTTTCCAAAAGAAACGGATGATCTAATGAACCAATTAAGCAGTTGTGAGAATACAGACGTTTCTACTCAGAGATTGCTTTCAAGTGTTATAGAACTACGCAAAAATCGATGGGGTCGCAACAATGACAGTAATGGTATTGATCTCCTATACAGTATAGTTAACTGATTCGTGTACCTAAATTGAATGGTTTGGAGTGAAAATGTAATACAAATTTTGCATTACAAAAAAGTTGAGCGGAAAAATGTCGATGATGAATGAGCGGAAAAGGGATAGCTATATAGTAAACTATAGTGAACTATATAGCTATCCCTTTTCATTTGACATTTTTCCGCTTAACTTTTCTGTATTACATTTTCACTCCAAACCATTCAATCATTCCTTATTAAAGATATTTGAATTATTTTTTATTGCTTAAGTGAAACGTAGTCGGTTACATTAAGCTATTTTACCAATTGACTGATTTTTCCTATGATAAAATTATATGAATAAGCTAACTTTTCTGTATGTATTTTCATCATCAGCGTCAAATCCACTATTGGATCAACAATGTGGCAAAGAATTCAGTAATGATCCAGTTTTCTATGGACCAGATGGAAATGTTCTCACTGAAGAAGAAAGTGCATTTCTTTGGAATGCCACTACTTGTCCAGCTGAGAACTATTACGATGATGATGAGTATGATTAATCCATCGAATGCAAGAAAAAAACACGATTTTGATACATTCTTCTAAATTACAGAAACGATCCGGATGCTCTAGTTGAAATAGAGCCTGAAATGGACTTAGAAATTCAGTTGGCGTTTAAAGATTTTGTCACTTACCAAAATAAAAAATGATGTCAATAACTTGAGAACATTTGACAGCTTTGGAGGAAATGCGATCCTTGTGCAGATTAAAATGCAAGACACAAAGTTTTTTCATATAAATAATTGAAAATCTCCTTTTATTCATAATTTGTGACGTTAAAGAACACAGAATTACTAAATTTCCTTTTTTTTTTCAACATAAAAGCACGTTAACATACAACATTGCACGCGTGTTTGATCAAAATTTTTGTAACTTCGAATATTTTTTGATGAGATCGTGGGCTTCAGTTGAAAATTTTAGATCATAAATGTATGTGCGTTCGTTCAGAACATAGCCAGAATTCAGTTTGTATTCTCTTCCCGAAGCTACAAAAATATATTTTTTTTTCTGCAAAATCTTGTGCTCTTAATTTTTCTTAATGTGTATCCTAGGTGTATCTTATAATGAGTACGAATGATGAAAGGTAAGTTGCTGCAAGCTGAGAAGTTCTCAGTGAGAACAACACTGCGGTTTCTTGTCAGTTCCAAAATTTTATTTTATTCTATTTTATTTTTTATTTTATTTATTTACACCGCCAAAAACTGGCTGAATATTTTGGTTTGCAGGAAAACGATCCCAAGAGTCATGAATAACCTGGTCTCTTCGTGTTTGTACAATACAGAGTATTTTCATACATAACTTACAAGGATACATCACTATTGGTTACGGTCTTTGAGCAAAATCACATATGCCATAGTTTAGGGCTTCGATAGACTAGCTCCACACTACTCTCCGTTTTGGCCCATGTGAGCAATTATTTTTTGCTACATCGCTTTGAAGTTTTCCAATATAGCCATATATTCCGCATTTTGACAACTTTAATTTTGGTCCATACTCGTCCCTTATTGGTTATATCGCTTCAATATCTTCAGCAAATTTGTAGCTAAGAGTACAAGTAACAAAGTTTATGAACATTCTATGCCTCAAAAATTGCATCTGACTAGGCTTATAGGGCAAAATGTCGAAAAAAGAACGATTTATCCCAATTTTTCCCATTTTTTCGACCATAACTCGTAAAACATCCATTTGTTTTGTTTTCTAACTTTGGCATTATTGTAGCCAGCGTCAAACTTAACAACTCTTCTGAACACATTATCCCAAAAAAATCACATCTAGCCCACTTTTTTGGCTCAAA